GATTGTAATGGTTCAAACTTCAAAGCACCGAGAGAACAGGGAGTTGCTGAAACGCAAAGGAACTAAGATTACAGGTCAAAGGCGCTAACCCAGTGAGTATATTAACGCATAAGAAGATTGCGTCAAGTACTAAGAAAAAAAAAGAAAGCAAAAAGAGCTGGGTGTGGTGGCACATACCCACAATCCCAGCACTCAAGGCTGAGGCAGAAGGGTCAGAAGTTCAAGTCCATCTGCAAGATCTTGTCTCAAAATAAAAGATAATAGTTTTTTAAAAAGTAGAAAGTACTATGCCTAGAATCCCAGCACGCAGGAGGCTGAGACAGCAGGGTTGTCATGAGTTTGAGGCCAACCTGGACTACATAGTGAGTTCAAGGCCAGTCTGCACTACAAAGCAAGACCCTGACTCAAAAAAACAAGGAAAAATCAACATAAACAACACCGAAAAAATAAAAATAAAGAAAAGAAAAAACACCAAAATAAATATATACAAGCAGAACATACATATGACAGAAAGAATATGTGAACGACACGTCTGAGAAGATGGCATAGTCATGGAGCTGTGGCCGTAGCTCAGCGGTAGAGCACTTGCTTGGCATGTGTAACATCCTGGGTTTGACCCCCAGCACCACCACAAAAAAAGAAAAAGGGAAGCCAGCCAACCATGGGAAGATTTTTTTTTTTCTTTTTGAGCCCGGGTCTCGCTATGCAGTTCAGGCAGGCCTTGAGCTCACTTTGTAGCCCAGGCTGGTCTCAAACTTGCAGTGATCCTCCTGCCTCAGCCTCCTGAGTGCCGAAGTTACAAGCCACCATGCCCAGTTGGGGAAGACTTCAAACCAAGGAGAAACACGGACTGGAATCTCAGAAGGGTCACTCTGGTGGTAATGAAGCAAGTAAATTGAGGAAGGCAAGAATAGTTCAGGTGATACCAACTGAATGTTATACCATGTGTGAGAAGAGGAGTAACGTGGAGTGGTATCATTATGGTGAAGAATTCCAGGCATTTAGGAAGTACAGTCAACAAGACTTAGCGGTCGACAGATGTGAGGAAGAAAACTGATGGTCTTGGAATTGTCTCGCATTAGTAGACATCGAAGACAATGTGAAATACAGTGAAAAGACAGCAGAAAAAGCAGGTCTGAGGGAAAGATAAAGTAAGCTTTGTTTTGAATATGATGGGTTTGAGAGATCTGAGGGTGAGAAGAGGCTTTTTTACAGCGAGGCTTTCTAAACGGGCAGAGCTGTAAGAGAAGGGAGCAGAGAACAGTCCTGGGACAGCCCGAAGGACAGAACACCCGGATGCAGGGACATCTGAGGGCTGCAGGAAGAGGATCCTCTCGCACCGGATGCAGGAAGGACAACGGCTACTGGGAGAGAGCGGAGTGCTGGGCATCAGAGATGATTCCAGGCACAAAGCAGTCAGCTGTCGGCAAATTAACGGCTGATGAATCATCTTGCTCAGGGTAGGCTCCAGGGGACAGCGGGAGGGAAGCCAGGCCAAAGCATCACACTGCTCCTCTTCCAAGACCTAATGTTCTCTACCAACCACTGAAAGCAAATACAGATACCTGAACTCACATATCAATAGGTTCCAAATGACAGCTCTCAGCTTAAGATCCTTATGTTTAAACAACTATCTCAGGCCGTCTATCAAAGGTTCCTGTGAAGGCAGACCAGTTCGTGGGTCTCACCTGTTGAGACCAGTGATTCCTACCCTATCTGTACCTGTCAAGTGGATCAGGAGGAATAAATGTCTTTAGTTCAGTTGATTTTTTTTTTTCCTCTTGGCAGTACTGTGAATCAAACCCAGGGCCTTCACACTAAGCTGTATCCCTCGCTCTTTTTGATTTTGAGACACAGTCTTGCTAAGTTTCCTGGGTAAGATTTGAACTTGCAATCCTCCTGCCTCAGCCTCCCAAGTGCTCAATAGCCTTGCTGAAAGAAACCACAATAACTCCCAAATGGTTTCCTGAACTCCTGATTTATGGCCTGGCCAGAGGCAACTTCATTTAGTGAGCTGTCTTGGTTACTGTGGATACTTCAGTACTACGGCTGAGTCAAATTACCAAAATTACACCAGGGTTGTGGTGTGTGCCTCTTATCCCAGCTACACAAGAAGCTGAGGCAGGAGGATCGTTAAATTTGAGGCCAGCCTGGGCAACTTAACCAGACTCTATCTCAAAAATTTAAAAAGGAGTTGGGAAAAGCCAGGTGTTGTGGCACATACTTGTAGTCCCACCATTCAGGAGGCTGAGGCAGGAAGATCCATGAATTTGAAGCCAGTGTGGGCTACAGAGTGAGACCCTGTCTCAAAACAACAAAAAATAAGGAGGAGGTGGGATATAGTTCCCTGCTAAGAGTGCTTGTCTAAGCACGGGTGCAATCCCAGGCACCAGAAGAAGAAAACAACAACAACCAACCATAAACACCATAGAGGCCGCAAAGTGTTAACCTTGGCTCACATCCGTCTTTACCCACGGAACACTTACGCTACTTCTAATGAGGAAAGGACAAATGGCCAGGACTAGCAGAGCTAACCAGACTCGGCAGCAGCTGGCCTGCTCTGAGCCGTGCTGGAGCAAAGGCTCTTCCTTTTCGCCAGGCCCCCTATCATGTATTAAATTACCTTCGGGACCCACTGAAGTGTCCTCACTAAGCCCGGGGAAATGGAAAACAAGTCCCGACGCTAAATCAGATACACTCATCCGAGGAAACAGGAAGTTTAACTGATGCCAGGGTAACGCGGGCAGCCTGTGACCTCAGAGCAAAAGGCAAGGAACAGAGAGATTCCTGAAAGTTACATATCCGTTGCCCATAAAATTTAACCCATGCTAATTTGAAAGTGCTCAGAACACTTAGGTAATCTGATGCTCTTTAGGAACATGTATAGCAATTCAAATGTCTCTTGGTAGTTGTCTCCAACATATTCCAGGAACTCAGCCAGAACCACATGCTGGAAATCCGCTGAGCACCACAGTCTTATTAATATGCAATGAGATTCTATTTCAGACAGCTGGTGATAGCGGGCTACAGGACAAGGATATAAGAACTAAAAATATTTGAAAAAAATGCAAGACAAAATAAACTGAAGCTTTACCATCACTTTAGGTTGGGAGTTTAAAGAGAAAAGTGGAAGGAATCACATTTCAAGAAGAGGGGCTTCCCCTGGGTTTAACTGGAAAATTACCAAGCGCTGTAACAGGCCAGTGCTATAAATCAAGAGCAAGAGAAGCTGTTACAAGTGCGCCCCTCCCCCTCCTCCAGCAGCCAGGGCTGCATGTTTATAGTAAAGATCACCTCTTAAAGCAGCTCCGACTGCATCTTGTCAGGAATCTTTTCTGTTTGTTTCTTTTTGAGACAGGGTCTCACTATGTAGTTCAGGCTGGCCTCAAACCATCAGTGATCCTCCTGCTTCAGCCTCCCAAGTGCTGGGATAACAGGTATGTGTCACCACACCCAGCAGGAATCTCTAAAGGCAGAATCAGTCCAGTTCATCAGATAGGTTGCAGAGATTTATCAGTATGTAAAAACAGTGATTACGAAAGATTGTTGTCTTTGTTGTAAAATGATTTCATTGAAAAGGCAGACTATGAAAAAAAATAAAAAGGTAGACTATGTACAAGGTATTTTAAGGGATGGGATCTTCATTAATAAGCAGGAATTAAAATCCCCCCATCAGGTACCTCCTGACACACTAAAAGGAGCAGGGTGCGGGTGTAGCTTAGTGGCAGAGCGCTTGTCTTGCCAGCTAGAGGTTTGATTCCCAGCATCAAACAACGAAGACCGAATCTTAGCAGTTCATCTTTCACCTTTAGCAGTGAACTTAGAGTTATTAAAATGACTAGGAAAGAGATCCTACTGAAGGAACTGCAATTAGTGAACAGAGAAAAGTTTGAGTATTCAACCCAAGTCACCACACCCACATATGGGTAAAGGCGTAAGAAGGCCCCGCGATGTCAGGTGATTTCAGTGAATTCATTACTCTTAGTTCTCTTGGAAGGAGGTAACCGAGCCTTGGGATGGCCTCACGATCAGCAGAAATGTGAGAACAAGAGTAGCTCACTGATTGTGTTCCCATCTCCAGATCTCTCTGCTGCCACACAGTTTGCATTTACAGTACCAGAAAAACATACCTAAAATTGTTCCAACAAGAATGGAGGAAATGATCTTGAACAATAGCCAGAAACACGGTTCTGCCATATAAGGGATTGAAATTTTCTGCCCCGGTACTAAAAGAAGAGATTTTCATTCCATGGGCAGAGCTGGCATTATCTTTTGATAGGAGTTCCTCTGGTCCTAAAAACTTAAGGTAGTACCTTAATTATAGGACTGCAACTTCTAGAGGGCTTGTAAAGCTGCACATACCTAGGTCTCACCTCAGAACCAAACTCTTCCTTGGAGAAGTCTAGGAACCGTAAGCTTAACAACCCAGGCGACTTTCATAATCAGGTAGGCTTGAAAAACACAGCTAAGGGGCTGGGGATTTAGCTCAGCGGCAAAAGCGTCTGCCTAGCAAGCGCAAGGTCATGAGTTCGGTTCCTGGTACCGGAGAAAAACCAAAAAAAAAAAAAAAAAAAACAGCTAAACCCTGCTTCCAATAACACACAGCTATTCACCCTAGAGAGAACATGCATGATTTGAGGAGGGGATCTGGTGGGCCCGATGATTCATAAGTATCACTAGGCTGAGCTAGGAAAGCGAGAAGTTGAGGGGGAAACACTGACTGTGCAGCTAAAGCGGGTCTGGCATTCTTCGCCCTACTTTGCATCCACCAGCAGCTTATTCCCGGCCAGCCTTGCGCTGCCTGCTTGCTTCCACACTCTCTTGACTGCAACAGGACTTTCCCTGCAGACTCCTGATCCTAATCTGCGGATGGACTCCTAGAGACGGGGAGATGGGATAGTTCCAAAGTACACAGCTGACACTGTAGGCCCAGGACATAAGGTTCCACACCGCTCTGTCACAGATCCTGCACAGACATCTAGCATCATGGGGCTACTCACCCAAGCTGGAGAGCCTTTTCATCAAGCCAGCTTCTCTAACGGCAGCGGGACCATACTCCACTCCTTTTTTCCCCTGTCAATCACACACAGTGAGAGAAGATGATGGCGTGCGTGTGTGTGTGTGTGTGTGTGTAATCGTTTAGTTAACAACACAGAAATCTGCAATACTACACTTGGTTGCTAACAGATTCCTCTGCCAAGCTGCCGCAACATCAGCCCCGCCACCTACTAGAGTTCCACCGGCATTTCTTCAAATCCTTGCATGAAAAGCGGGGGAAACAAACCCCAGCACTGAATCCAAATCAAACTTCCGAGCCCCTGGCCGGGAGTTGGGCCAGCGGGGTCCAAGACAGCGGCGGGGCTGAGCTGGGTTAGGAGCTGGTGGCTGGCGGGGCCAGAGCCCTCCGCGCCTGCAGGCTCCTTTCATTGAAGAGAGAACAAAGTCCCTCCCACCTCCTCCTCTGCGGCGGCCAGGGACAACTGCATTCCCGGTCAACGCTCTTTTTGGAAGAACAGAGCCTGAAGCCCCGATGCCCGCTCGCTCTCTTTAACTCCTCTTCGTAGATTTCCCCCCAGGCTTCGGCCGGGTCCTGCTGCTGCTCGGGTGCGCTCCATCGCCCCAAGCGGGAGCACCGATCGTTCGCTCCTGGGGAGGCCGCAGCACCCGTCCTCCCGCCCTGCCCGCGCCCCTTCCTCCGGGAAGCCCCCTCGCTCCCTCCGCTCCTCCCACCCTTTCCTCGCCTCGCGGCCGCCCCACCCAGCCCCGGCGCCGGCCCGGCTGTCACCTGTCCACGAGAGAAAGGGGCTCCTATCACGGCCACGGAGTGGACGGATTTCTTCAGCACGGAAGGCGCGTGCATCCGGAGGACACGCGAAAGGCTGCCCCTCAAAGACATGACCGGCAGCGCGGGCCTCGCAGAGAGAGAGGAGGCTCCAGGCGGCTCGCGGCTTCGAGTGAGCGCCGGCGCGCACGGTCGCGCTTAGCCACTGCCGCCCATGACGTCACCCGCCCGGCCCCGCCCCCACCAGCCCCCGGCACACCTTCCCTGCAGGCCCCGCCCACCGCCCGCTGGCAGGGGAAGCGCCAACAAAGGCCTCACCCCTGCGGGAGTGGGCCCGCCCCCAGGGACGCGCCCCTTTCGCTGACGCCTCAAGGGCTGGCCAATGACAGCGCGGGGGGGCGAGCGACGGACAGGTGTGTCTTTTCCCAGGAAGCACCTGGCTCTGGCGGAGTGCCCGACATCGGCGGAAGCCGCGGACCAGTGGAGGGAGTGTCTCTGCTCTATGCCCTTCCCTCCGGCGCGCCGGCAGATGCGGACTGCCGCACGCCTTCGGGGCTTCGCTGGCCGTGGTGCGGCTCCACCTTTGGGCGTCCGAGGCCAGGAAATCCGATATATATTTGAGCCTTCTGGGCGGGGAAGGTTAATAGATGCCCTGCCCACGTACTTGGGATGGAGAGGTTAGGATTTGCCAACAATTCTATGCTAGATGTTTCCAATTCTCTACCTGAACTACGGGAGCATCGGTTATTAACAACCAAATATACTAACATATTTGGGGTATTTTTAAATTTGCGGGAGGCTAAAGAGCTAAAAATACTGTTACTACTTCCAGTGTTACGAGCTAATAACATTTTAATAACCAAATACAGTTCTAAGAACTTTAACCCTCCAACGATTCTAGTTTAAATAGAATCCCATTTAGATCCTATTTTAAAGATGAGGCCACAGGATCGGACAGGATAAGTAGCTTTCTTAAAGTCACATAGCTTTTGAGTGACGGCGGTCTGACTCCACATCCCGTGTTCTTAACCATCACACTACGACTCGCAGGGATCTCGATCTTATTCCTACCAAAATAAACTTCTATATACATAGCTGAAATTTAACGTGATGCCAGTTTACATTCTGCCACCCAAAATAGTTCAGAAGTCTCCATGGCAACACTGTAATTCCAAGGAGCTTTAGCGTAAGGCAATTTATTTTTAGTGTCTACCTAGTATACTTGTCTCCCCCTGCTGGTTCAGAAAAAGACTTCTCTCAGGTCCGGTCTGCACAACGTCGACGGGGAGGCAGTGGCTCTCCAAGTGAGGTCCCGTACCACCAGATCGACATCGACTAACCAGAGATGCAAATTATTGGGCTCTACCCGCCAGATTTCCTGGGCAGTGACAGAGCAGCAGCAGCCCGTACTTTAACAAGCTCTCCGGGAGTCGCTGAGTTCAACTTACCTAGGTATTTTTTATTTTTTAATTGTAGTAGTGGGCATTGACCCCAGCACTTTGTGTATGCTAGGCAAGCGCGATATCACTGAGCTGCATCTTCACCCCTTTTTAAAATTTCATTTTGGGATAGGATCACATTAAGTTGATTTGGCTGGCCCCAGACTCAGCCTCCCGAGTAGCAGGGATTGCAGGCATGCACCGCCATATGGAGCTTGGAACTTTTCTTTCTTCCTTTTGTTCCTCTCTTTCTTTCTCTCATTTTTTGGTCATCATCACATCCATTTTTTTTTTTTCACTGTGTTTTCTAAAATTGATATTGGCAGATTGGGCTACTGCAAAAACTTCTCGTTCCTTGAAGGAAGAAAGACGATGAGGTCAGCTGTGAGGGTGAAACCTCATGCATGGGACTAGTGCCTGTGATAACACAAGCACATGCAATATACTTGGCTTTCTTTTCTTTCACAATTTAATCTTTTGTTCTAAGGATTGAACTCAGGACCTTGTACAGAGCTACATCCCTGGTCCTTTTTAAAAATTTTTTATTTTGAGACAAGTTCTCACTGAGTTGCCTAGGTAGAATTAAAATGTGAAATCCTCCTCCCTCAGCCTCCCAAGTGCTGGGATTGCAGGTGTGCACTACTGTGCCCAGCTATTTGGTTTTCTTTCCTGACTCGTAGTTCCTCTAACCCTGTCATGTGACTAAAGCGATAAGAGCACCTTTGTTAAAATGTTTGGCCTTTTGTCCTTGGTTCCTAAAATAGCTCTGGAACTGTTACCTGACCCAGGCTGGCTGCTTGCCCCATGACGGCTTCATGAAGTTGGGACTCTGAAGTACTGAGTCAAGGAAGGCGATGTTTTTGAAAAGCTGGCTAGACAATATAGGTGACTTTGTCATAAAGCCCATCTTGCTGGGAACTGAGTTAGAGGTGGTTCATATAGGTGGTAGATGGGTTTTCCTACCCTGGGGGTACCTTCTCATAGGGGAGACAAATAATCATGCACTCATGGTAGCCCTTCTCACAGCCCAGCATGGGCCAGGGCCAGATTTGCATCTGATCCTAATTGCTGAGTCAGCTATGCTTCTCAGGCCTGCGAATCTCAAGAACAAAGATCAGTATTTCCCTGGGCTATTTTCGTCACAGATTGTTTGTCCTCACGGAGTTACATATTATACAAAGGACAGAGTAGAGATGGGAGCTGCCCTGAGGTGCTCTTGCTGATGGCCAAACTTAGGGTAGTGAACAAAAACATCAGTGCTCTGCTTTAATCCCCCACCCAAGTCACGTGCCCATTTCCCAGGATGGCAGGGTTTGGGCTGACATCTCAGATCCAGCTGCTTGCTGTTGACTGGGGTCATTGCAAGGGGCAGCGGAGTAGAATAACCTGATAGGGTGCACCTCAATTCTTGTAGCTATTTGGTGGCAAATTTTTCCACTTTAGTCATAAAATACTTTAGCACAGGGAGCATGAGATCATTTGGAGGAGGTGAGCTACATCTCAAGCATAGTTGTTACCGGGGCTTGGAGGTGCTGTGGGCTCCTCCTAGAGATTCTTTCTAGGTTCTTGTCATACTGAACAAAGAATTGGGCAGGGAATGAGATACCTATTTATTAAAGGTTAGGCCAAGAAATATGCTCTCGGAGCATATTTCAGTTAAATATGCCAATTAAAAACTAGGGAAAGAAGTACCCTGCAGGTGTGGAACAGGCCACTGAAAGAGCTTGCAGTGATCACGAGGTTGATAGCAGGGGTCTTTTGTACCCTCCTCCTCAGACTGATGTCAGATCTAGGCCACCCTATAGCATTTTCTGATTGGTACCAAGTGCGGGGCTTGTTCCAGTGGTTGATCGAGCAGATCAGATCTGCTGGAATAGACTAAGTCAGTCCACAATTTGTGTGCAATTATGATTTAAAGTAGTAGTCACCTAAAGTTTATCGCAGCCTGATAATTGCCCATTCCTCTAGCTATTAGTCAGTCAATAGGCACGTTTTTGCTGTAACAGTCAGTGTCTGGTGTGGTGACCCAAGGTGAATTTTTTTTTTTTCCAGCATCAGGTAAAATGTCACAGGCTACAGCTCTCAGACACAGGCCATCTTTTTAAGGTTTGTTCTCATGCAGAATGTGCATGGAAAGTCCCTTTAGTGACACTGGAAATTAAAACCAACAAGGAAGCAACTGTACAAATTTACAGGCAAAACCTTTGAGAAAGAAGAGAGAAGAGCTGAAGAGGGCCCAGCTCTGATGAGAGAATCAGATTGGCCTTTTAATAAAAACCAAGGCTAGCTTTAAAAAGCATGGCCAGAGTAGGTTAGATTAGGTCTGGTGGTTTTCCAACTGGGTGATGAACATGGTATTTTTTGAGACTTTTTCCCTGTGCTTTAGGACAGTTCTCCCTCTAGGACATGGGTTGGCAGCCATTCTTACCCTGGGATACATCTCAGCGTCTCCTCTGCAGGTACGGCGCACCCGGTCCTTACAGGAAGAATAGGGGTAAGGGGAGTGCATTCCATACATTGTCAGCAAGGAAGAATAGATGGGGAAAGACATGACCACTTTAGTGGGTAACAGGTTGTGGATTAAGCCTGAGAATCCCTTCCTTTTTTTATCATCATGAGGGTACTTCTCCTACTGCAATTGTAGCTGTTTGAATTAGTAAACGGTGGAGGGATGATCCTCTCCATCTGGAACAACTCTCTGACTCCAATGTCTCATCTGTCATCCTACTCACAATCACCAGTACATTTTAAAGGGTGAGAGTCCAAACCTTTTATGGCCTTATATAATGGACACACTATCAGCCCATAATTAGGGAATCATATTTGGCAAACCCAGCAATCCCTAGGAAACCTGAAAACCATTGTCCTTTAAAGGACCTTTAAGGCAGCAAGAGGCTTTTTCTTGTTGGGCAACAAATTTCTTTTTTGCGGAGGGGGATACCGGGAACTGAATTCAGGACCTTGAGCTTGCTAGGCAGGTGCTATGCCACTGACCTAAATTCCAAACCTTTGGGCAACAAATTTCTAAAGCCACTCTGCAGATCGAAAGCAAAGTAGGCCACTTGCTTGCAAATTTGAGACTTACATATGCATTTAGCCAAGTAATTCAAGGTCTTGATGAAGTTGGTCAGGTATTGCTCACTAATGGGACTAGCCTCTAGTCAATGATCTACATATAATAACTACCCTTCCTTTACTTCTAGATGACTCATGTCTCTGGCCAGTGCTTTTTCAAATAAATTAGGAAAGTTTTTCTTTGTTCTCCTTGGACCCCATTTGCCTATACAGCAGGCCTCAGAGTTGTTGGCAATAAGCCCTGGACTCAATTTATTGGTGCCGGAATAAAGCCCTCAGACACCAAGAAATTGCAACGAGGCAAGTTTACTTCTGCAGAAGGATGCGAGCACATCCCAGCAATGGGGTAGCAGGTGCACAGAGAGGTGCCAACAGGATCCCTTCATGTCCTAATGTATGACAAGCAACCCTTCTCCCCACGGGCTGGCTGGAGGGTTCACCATCTCTCCCGATTGCCTAGTTTAGGTGGCGTGAGGGGAGGGCCTGAGGGGTTGCTGGGGATGGCTGCTTAAAAGGGGTGAGGGGTGTTTGGGGCAAGAGGAACTAAAAGTCCTTGGCTGCATTCCTGGAATCCAAGCCAAGCAGACATTTCTTGTAACTGTAACAACTGCAACCTGGTATAAGAGGTGGGGGAGGGCAGCCCAGGGTGAACTGGAGTTTAAGATAGAGGCACCTGCTTAGATCCTTTGGTAGAAAAGAC